AATATATCCGGATTATTCCACGATTGTCAAATCTCTCTCCGAACCAATGGGTCTTAAACGCCAAACCTACAAAAAAGCTCAAGAGGCGGCGAGAAAAGATATTGAACGAGCCTTTGGGGTCTTGAAGGCTAAGTGGCACATTCTAGATCGTCCGTCGAAATGTTATTCTCAGACAAAAATGAGGAATATCATGTACGCATGTATTATTCTTTATAATATGATCATAGAGAATAACGGGTCTGCGATTTGTCAATACAACCCGGACGAGGAGGTGCCTATGTACGAAGAAATCACCGAAGAAAAGAAGCGACGCAACCGCCAAAAAATTCGAAGCCGAGAGATTCACAATGCACTAACGGCGGATTTGATCGAACATATCTTTAGTCGTTCGAATAATTAGTGATTTCTTTGTACTGTTATTTTTTTTATGTAATTTTTTTTAATGTTTTTTTATGAATGTAAGATTTTTTTATAATAAATTTAATTTTTTTATGCAATAGTGTCATTGCGATTAATTAAAATAATAATTTAATTTAAATTTATAAATTTAAATTTAGAAGATATATGTTTAAAAATGTAAAAAAAATGAAGGTTTGAAGCCCCAGTTTGAAGCCCCGGGGCTTCAAAACCATTTCCAGTGAATTTTGGGTGTAAGTTAAAGCTGACGTGGCAGAAGAGAAAGTTTGAAACCCCGGGGCTTCATGACCATTAACGGTGCTCTCAGTAATTTGGCAATTTATAAAATTGAATTTTATAAATTCAAAAAAAATACTCCGTAATAATACTCCCTATGAAGTTATGTCAATTTTTTTTGCAGGTATCAGAAGACCTCAACCTCATTCATCACATCAGGACTTCATATCTGGACAATGGCAGCTCCATTGTCGTCTCCAAGCTTCCAGATTCCTTCCCGGAAAACGGCGTAAATTACGACGCCGGCGACATTGAGCTTGATTTTCCGCCGCTAGATCTGGACTGCGATGGCGACAACAATGAGATCGGTTCGCCTTACAAGCATTCAAACGATTCGTTCCTGGCTGAAGAAATCCACGCGGAAGTTTCGCAGTTACAGAACTGGAGATTCGACGACGAGGATATAATCATCGGAAATTGCATCCACAACAATTCTGGAAATTCCAGCGACTGCATCTCCCAGAACTATGTGAATTGGCACTATTCCGAGCAGCAGCCGCCGGGAATCGACGTTCATTATCAATCCGTTGTTTCGAACGTTCTCCAGAATTCTCACCAGTTGATTCTCGGACCGAATTTCAGCAGGAGCGGGGGCGGCTGCTCGTCAAGCTTTGTAACTTGGAAGAAGGGAGTTTCATCTCAGAGCAGAACTGGTGCTACGCCACAGAGGATCCTGAAGAAGGTTCTCATGGATGTTGGCAGGATGCACGGATGCTGTTCGAGGGAAAGCCAGAAAGAGGATGTGACTTGTAGGCCTCTTGAAGGGGAGGAAACTGATAGGAGCCGCGTTCTGTCGGAGCGGAGGCGTAGGGAGAAGCTGAATGAGAGATTTACAATTCTTTCATCTTTGATTCCCACTAGCTGCAAGGTATGCAAAATCTGCTTCTTCTTCAAGTCTCGCATTCCACATTTCTACAATTTTTAGCTTATTAGTTGCAGGAAACTTTAAATAAATGTTGTTTCCCGTCCTCAAAACATCGCTGTTGGGTTGTGGAGTGTGATGTACTCCGGTAATATTTTGATGTATTGCTAAATATTGTTCGTTCACGTGATTCAACCTAAGAATTTTTAGCCCAATATTTAGGTTGTACCATTATCATCATCTGTGTAGTGTATTCTTCTCTGTACGTGTATATACTCTGAAAACATTAATATATAAGTATATATTGCCATGGGGGGTACATTTCTTTGTATTTTTGTCTAAGAATTACAGGTTTTCTTCATTCATTTTCATCGTGTTCTTCGTGAAGAAGATTGAGTGTGTGAGTAATGAGATCCTAACATTAGTAAACAGGAGATTTAGTAAACTCTATTATGTGTAAGATTCACTTGGTTTTGCAGGTTGACAAGATATCTATACTTGATGAGACGATTGAGTATCTGAAAGACCTTGAAAGAAGAGTTAGAGAAGTTGAATCTCACAAGGAAACATTCGAGTTGGAAGAAAGAAGAACTCGGGGAGAGTCTTGTGATAATGACAAAGATGGTGATGGCAATGTGGAGAGACCATCTGATAATTGTGACGCTAATGGAGGATCCAATAAAGGCAAGAAGTCATTGCCGAGGAAGAGGAAGAAGGTGGGTGATACGGGGGGAAACTCACACGACAACTCTAAGGGTCCTGCCAAGCGCGGCGTAAAGGTTGACATGGTTGATGAGAACGTTACAATAGAGATGAGGTGCTTTTGGAGCGATGGAAAGTTAACAAAGATTATTGAGGCATTGGACCATCTGCATTTGGTTTGCCATGGCATGCAATCCTCCAACAGTGATGGGATTCTTTGTGTGACTGTTAATGCCAAGGTATTACACTGTTCTTTCAAATATAAAAAATTAGGGTTTCTTTTGATATCAAGAAGTGGTTCCTACCTCTTAGCCCCCTCACCACCCCACATGTTGGTGACAATCCTCTATCAAATAGTGACATTGGAGGCTATAGGGGAGGCTTGGGGTTAAAATGGGTAGGAATCAGTTCGGGATTGAACAGAGCACTCTAGGACCCTTAAATGGACTGATGTCATTATATGACACACAAGATAGGTGTCGAAAGAACCGTTGTGGAAAAATTATACAGAGCACCAATGTTAGGGTCTGTTTAGAACCTGAATAATGAAAGGAAAAGAAAACAGGGATGAAACTTGAGGAACCGAGGATGAAAACCAAACATTAAAAACAAAAGCTACTTTCCCCTAGCATTTTCCGCAATCCAAACGAGGCATCATTTCTAAATTCTTTTGCCACCTGATTCTAAAATTGCAGATGGAGGAGTCAAAAGCCACACCAACAGCTCTAATTAGACAAGCACTGCAAAGACTGATCTGATCCATCTTGACAATAGTAATTTTCATCCGAGGGTCTCTGTGGCAAACTTTTGGTTCATCTTTTTATGCATAGTGACTGGTGAGTGCAATTGCTGATCTTTCTGCAACTTGGGCTTGTTTAGTTAGTGAAAGAGCCTTTTCTGGAAATGTTATTTCTTTTTTGGGTTGTAAAAAGAGGTTAGCTATGAGAATATCTCTTTGTAAGACTCAAAAGAAAGAAATATCTCTTTGTAAAAATAAATGAATAAAAGTTCTATGGTTAGAATTTATTTATGGAGGAAAACTATAGGAATTACATATGAGCAACGCTTTCTATAAAAAGAGATGTGGATGATTTAAGAACTGAGAATAAAGAGAAAGGAAAATGAATTACAAATATGCATTGGTAGTATTCTTTGCTTCAACATGATAATGTGAATAATTAAATAAGGGATTGAGAAGTGCGGAAAGCAGTCTGAGTAGGGAGTCAGTCACTGACTTTGTCGTATGGCTGGCTGGCTGCTCCGTTTTTCAGTTTGACCATTGACAACACTGCTCTTTGGCCAACAACTAGACTCGTACCCGTGCGATGCACGGGCTATTAATTGACATATAATTACTCAATGTTTTAAGGGTCATGCTACACTTACACCACAAATTGTACCCCATTTGTATACCGCAGTTATACACAAACATTTTGATGGTTTACACCGACACAAGTGTTGGTTCGTTAACAAAAATTTACACGGACACAAAGTGTCGGTGCATTAACAAAAATTAGTTTTACACCAACACAAAGTGTCGGTGCAAACCTGCGGGGTACAAAGTGGGGTATAAAAGTTGGGGTACAAATAGCTTTATCCATGTTTTAAATAAGGAAAAATGTTACAAAAACTTGAAAAGATTATATAAATTGAAAAAATAGAAAAAAGAAGGGGAGTTTTGGAAGTGTTAAAAGTTTTGAAATGTTTTTTTACAAACTACATTCGTTATTTGGTAAAATGAAGGAAGATCTTTATTGCAAATCAAAATCTTTAACACTTTCCGTAGGTCGCACAGTAAGAATATTTAACTATTGTTTTAAAGAAACAATGAATAAATTTTACTCCGTATGATATAAATAAATTGGATTCAAATAAAGTGGATGGGTGAGAAATTAAAAAATGAATTTATATGATAACTTAATAAATATTTGAATCACCGTTTTTGGTTTTCAACATTTTACTCAATTTCATTTCAAATCATTTAATATGAAAAAAGATGTAGAATTAAAATACAAAAATTACATATTCTAAAAGTAATGGGGAAATGACTATTATTGAATCAAATTACAAAATCAAATAAAAAAAGTGATTGAAGTTTAACTGTGAGAAAAGTTCACATGCAATTTAATTATAGTTTGAGGGAGTAAATTATGTTCATATAATTCATCCATGTTTATCGGACCTAGTAAATATTAATTCAATAAATATACTACCCCTTTCTTGAGTATTTGTGTATATGTCCATATTTGACTATTTTCCATCAAACTTGGTAAACTTTGACCTGAAAAAAATAAAATTAAAACAATATAGTATTTTATATATATATATATATATATATATATATATATATATATATATATATATATATATATATATATATATATATATATATATATATATATATATATATATATATATATATATATAGACACACACACACACTTTATATATATAATGTAAAGAAGGAAACACCATTGCCATTGATGTGGAGAGATGGATGCTGAATGAGAAATATAAATCTTGAGATGATTTTTGAGAAGTTTATTTTTTAGGAATGAAGTTCACATCATTATGCTCGAGTATATATATAATACATGCTTCATGATACCTTTAACCATTCATTAAATGGCTAGATATTAAAAATCTTTATAATGGATAGATTTGACACAAAGTTACTTTTTCCTAAATTTACTTTATGGAGCCACTCAATTTTGTTTTTCCCCATGCAACTTTATGGAACCACTCAATTTTGTTTTTCCCCAATACAATTTTATGGAGCCACTCAATTTTGTTTTTTCTCAATGCAACTTTATGGAGCCACTAAAATTGAAAAGACATAAAGCAATTTTATTGAGTCCCACACCACGCCAGGTCTAAAACCAAACCACAAAATAGGCCCAAACCCGTCATTTACAGAGTCTGGCCCAAACCCGATCCACCAAGCCTTTAGTTTAGGCGGGAACACTGTTCACAAAATGCACCTAGCATTGTATATAGTAGGATAATGTTGTCGTTGCGCATTAAGATATTTGACTGAAATTATTTACAAATTATTTTATGGCATGTTTGAGAACATGGATTTGGATTTCAAATCTGGATTTGACTCAAATTTCATGTTTGAGAAATTTAAAAATTTTGAATTTGAATTTGAATCAAATTCCTCTCATTCATAACAAAGTTTAATTTGAAATTCATGCACCTCTTCTTGTCATTTGAAATTCAAGATTTCAAATCTTGGAATTGAAATGCATGAATTGAAATGAAATGCTAGTTTGCCAAATACTACTTTATATGAAAAAGTGTAATTTGCACTAAATAAGACTAAAATATAAGTCATTTTCCAATATAGAAATGGAGTTTTTTCCCCTAAATAGTACTTTATAGTGCTTAGTGAGAGAATAATGTTCAATGATGGTAAACATTACTTGAATAATAACTAATGAATAATGATCAATGGTCCTACATTGAAAAATAAAAATGTATGGTCCTATACTCCTATATTGAGAAAGTCATTATGTTTTAATCATATTTAGATAAATTCCTCTATGAAAAATGGTATGGAATTAAAAAATAAAAAATCATGTATTTAAAAACTACATGAAAAAATTCACAAAACTAAAGGTGACAAAATTATATTATTTTATCAAATGAGGAATAAAAATATGCTAACAAAGTAAATAAAGTTTGACTATGTAAATAGTAAACGAAAACATTATTTTTGGACGGGAGAGTAACAACTTGAGTGTTGGCATCCTTGTGTATTTGGACCATGTGTCCGCCATAATAGGTTGAACCATATCATCCCTACCACTTACCAAAATGTCATATTTTAAAAATCATAATCACTTTGATTCATATTGGCTCAAAACCAAATAACCAAGCCAAGGCGATTGTAAATCTAAAACCAAAAAAAAAAATTCACCCCCTCAAATGCAAACCAAATGCACCCACAATAATGGTTGCATTCAAATTCCCATGACATGCAAAAAGTATACTATGAAAAAAATTCTATTGCAAACATTAAACGTTCAAGATAACACTTCAAAAAAAAGAGGCTCCTCATGGTAGACACCATCTCTATGAAATTCCACATATACCCTCCCACTAATATACTACTAAAAATATAACATGGTAATTTCACATAAATGATGCACACCATGGGATAACCCCTCTAGCACTAAAATGCTGGCTATAACTAAAAGACCATTGACTAGAAAACCATACTTCAAAACCTCTACTAGTTGCACCGACCCGATCAAATGCATCACAATGAAAGAATCATTCCCACTCGATTGTTGATGGAGGCTTGGAAGTGATGTCTAGAAGGACTCGGTTGACTCCCCGAACGCCATTGCAAATCTTTCTTGACACTTCGTCTAGGAACTTGAAGTTGAAGTTGTACCTGAAAAGGTTGAAGTCCGGATGTGAAGAAGTTGTGTAAAGACAAACGAAAGAAGCTGAGTGTGGGAAGGGGGGGAAGTGACTTCTGGAAGTCATTCCCACCATATTTCAGTTTTTGGTTGATCCGAAAAGAAGAAATCATCTGAAAATGAGCCTTATTTGGAGGAAAATGATTTCCGTTTTTTTTATGGCAGAAGCCATTTTCCAACTTTCCAAACGGATCCTAAATCGAATGATACAAAATGTAGAAGTACCAGTCTGCAGTCATTCCGTCTTGGCTAGTCACTGCCCTAAGTGCCACGGCATGAGAATGTGTTCTTTGATCTCCCTGAACCCCAACTGTCTTCACCGGCAAAAACACAGCAAAAGCTTGCCAGATGTCATCATAAAGCCCTGCTTCTTTAATGGATTGAATGAAAATCTCATCCGCCTAGAAAGAAATCAGAGACTAGTTTTTAAAACATGATGGTTACGACAATAGAGAAAAATAGAAAAGATTCTAGATGACTAATTTGCATGCAAAATTTGATATTAAGCAAAGAAAATTGGTGGGAAGGATATTTCAACTTAATAAACCAATTTTAAATATATGTTCAAACTAATTTTATTTATATGTCTCTGTCATTAAACGTGTCAAATGAACTATTTGAATAAGAACTCTTATCTGCCATTTTCACTCTTGCTACCATTTTCTACATTCCAATCATAGCCCTAGAGTTTGAATAAGAAATCTTATCTACCTGGCGGAGAATATCTAACGCATTTCCTTCTGTGACATCGCCTGGAATCCGTACAGCAAGGCCAGGCCCCGGAAAAGGATGGCGCTTCAGAAAAGCCACAGGAATATTCAAAATCTTTCCCAATTCACGAACCTGACAATCAAATGATGCACCATATAAAATAGTTATAGAGCAAACCATGTAGAACAGTTGTAGGATTGTTGTTGTTTCTATCCTTTCAAAATAAATATCAAACACACATTCATTTTCTTGATAAGTGAGCAAGTCAAATAGGGAGGACATGGATGGGGAGTGCTAATTTTTTATCAGTGCAAGTAAAAAACATGGGAGAGAAAAAATGGGGAAAAAAGATTTAAACTCTTAAAAAAGGGAAGGTCAAGTGTAACAAGGATGTAGTGATGGTAATGAAACCTCATCCTTGAAAAGGAGTTTGAGTGGTTCAATGAGCTTCAACTTCATGTCCTTGGGAAGCCCTCCAACATTGTGATGGCTCTTAATTGTGTGGGAGTGTGTCCTTCCACTGCCTGGTGGGGGGCACGATTCTATCACATCGGGGTACAAGGTTCCTTGGACCAAGTATGTAGGTTTTTTCCCCAACTGCTTCTCCAAGTCTTGAGCAAACTGATCAAATATGCAGATGAACTCCTTTCCGATTATTTTTCTTTTCATTTCTGGGTCCACTACACCTTTCAGTTTGCTTAGAAATTGCTCTGTTGCATCAACACAAGTAACAGGTAAATGAAGATCCCTTCGAAATGTATCCATGACCCGCTCACCCTCTTTATACCTGTGTGGAATATATTATAAAGGTAACAGATTCAACAAGACAAAGAAGCACAGCATTGCCCGTTTTCAATAATACCATAACACGTACTCCCTTGTAAATACTTGAATATACCAAAATAAAATGTTCACAAAAGAATAAGATAGAAACTGACCTCAATAGACCATTGTCAACAAACACACAATGAAGTCTATCCCCAATAGCCTTGTGTACAATTGTAGCTGCTACAGTTGAGTCAACACCTCCAGATAGTGCACAAATGACATGATCTTCAAGTCCTACTATGTCCTTAATAATTTTTATCTCTTCCTCCAGAACATCTTCCATCTTCCATCCTGCAGTAACTCCACAAACATCGAAGAGGAAGTGTTTCAATGTTTCCATACCTTCGGTGGAATGAGTCACCTGCAAGATTTAGCTGTAAATTTGGGTCCGGAGATAACAACATCATCATCAACAACAAACCCGGTAGAATTCAACAGGAGGATGATGTGTGTGCGTGGACCTACTCGAAAATAGAGAGTTTGTTCCCAATAAACAATTGATGCATAAATAGAGGATACGGTAAATGGAAATAGTATAAGACATTATTAGCAGCCAGTAAAATCCGTACTGAAACACATGTGTAAACATGAAAATAGCAAATGCCAAATTTATGTGTTCCCATATTTAGATTCATTAAAGCACTGAAAAGACAGTATAAAACGAAACCCACACTTTATTCAATGCTCCAGGTAGTTTTAACATTCCTTATCACGTAGAAATATTTCTATTTATGACCACAAGCTTAAGCCAACTACAAAATTAAACCCTCCAAAAGTAATACAATAAGGCATAAACTGAAAACATTTTAAAAAATGCAACTCTAACTCAAGGGGGTGAGACCAAGGTTGACACCACCATAGACAAGCACGCACAGACAGTCATTGTCACTCAGGCATCATTGTCTGTGAAACAATGACGTTATGCTTAGTATGAATGTAGCAAGACGTAACTTTATTTAAACCAGAAAGTACTATTATATATTGTGTTAGATGAGTTCTTGTGAAGAAATCATTTTTATCCTAAACTCCCAATTCAATTAATGTATACAGCTAAACCAAGGTATTATGAGTACCATATTGAGACTTCATTAAGCAGTTCGCGAACACAAATTGCAGAATCAAGCATGAAAGTCTTCAAACTTTTGAGACAACAAAGAATCAAATGTATACCAAACTATTCCCTCCGTTCACATTTAACTATTGTGATACGGAGTATATCAAAAAGTTAAATGAATGTAGACATGATGTATGTCCATATTCATTCAACTTTTTTCCATGAATGAAAGGAGTATATTCACCTCAGGATGATACTGCAACCCATAGAACCTCCTTTCTCTGTGCTCAATAGCAGCCACTGCCCCTTGGTGACTCCGAGCCACAACATTGAACCCATCGGGCAACTTGACAGCCTCGTCCCCATGGCTCATCCAAACAACCTGGCTATCCCCAACACTCCTGTTCCCAAAAAGCTCAGATCCTCCCTTCACAACCTCAATCTCCATTCGCCCATACTCGTGCTTCTCCCCGAATTTCACCACGCCTCCGAGCTTCTGGACAATCAGCTGTAGGCCGTAACAGATTCCGAGCAAGTACACGCCTCTAGACTCGACGTATTCGATAAATCCCGGCGGAAATGACGGAGCTCCATCGGCGTGGACGCTGTGTGGGCCTCCGGAGAGGATGATGACGGACGGCTCAAGCTTGGTGATGGTCTCCAGCGAGGAGGTGCCGTTGATGCAGAGGGAGAAAACCGATAAGCTTCGGATTCGGCGGGTGATGAGGTGGGTGTACTGAGAACCGTAGTCCAGAATGAGGACTACGTTCGATTTCGCTGCCGGAGCTTGAGAGCCCATCGCGCCGCCGCCGCCGCCGGGACTGGGGTTCTGGGAGTAAGCTTTGGACGGAGGGAGGGGACAGAGGCTAGGTTTAGGCGTTTTTGACTTTCATAACGGTTCTCTTCCCCTATTTATCTTTTTTCTACCTTTTACGGGCCGGTTTGGAAACATGGTAGTTAACTTTTTGGTTTTGTTTTTTCTTTTTTAATCCAAAAATATTTTTATGCTTGAATTTGAACTTTTCAAAATAAATTTGATTTGAAATTCTTAATATCATTAACTAAATTACATGTAATTCATTTCATAATTAAATTACTCCATATTTCAAAATGAGTATAATTTTTCTTAATATCTTTTTGATAGGGGATATCTTGCCTTTTTTAATGTAAAAGTAATACTCCCTCCGTCCTAAAAAGTGTTTCCCGTTTCATTTTTGGCGCATCTCATTAAACACTTCTACCGACATCTAAAATGCCTAAAATTTATAATATTTCTTCTTTATTGTGGGTAGTAGCTATTTTGAAAGTTTTTTTGGCATTCAAGGCGGGATAGAAGTATTTTATGAGATACGCAAAAAATAAATCAAGAAAGACTTTTTTGGGACGGAGAGAGTATCTTTTTTTGTGTTATTGACTTAATTATAATATACTCCTCAGTTCTTGAGTATTTTTGTCCACTTTTGATTTTTTTGTCAAAATTAGTAAACTTTGATCTCAAATTAAATAAAAATGATATTAGATATTGATACAAAAATAGTTTTATTAGATTTATTATATCAACTAATTTCAAAATATTATTTTATCTAATTAACATACAATATATATTTTATTTAATTGAGGGTCAGATGTTGAAAATATTTGACCGAAAAAATCAAAACTGGACAAATACGCAAGGACGGTGGTAATACTATTTACTCCCTCCGTCCTAAAATTAACTTCTCATTTAATTTTTCACGATCTCCAATGCGACACTTTGACCATTATTATTTCCATTTTTATATGAGTACATATTACAAAAATAACATATTTCAAAACTATGTTTCAAAATGAATCTATTGATAATAAATTTATATGAAAATTCAACATATTTTTTTCGTAATATACGATCAAAATTTTAAAAGTTTGACTGCAAAAGTCAAACTGAGAAATTAATTTTAGGACGGAAGGAGTATATATTATCTCAATCTAATGACACCCAATGAGTCAATAGATTCACCTTTGCTAGATTCAAATTGCCACGGCCCTCCTCTTCATTATCTGGTGTAGAGAACATGTCTATGCTTAAGTGTGATAAAATTAATGGTTGAAAATGAGTTGATGCAATTAAAAAAAGAGAATTAGCTTCATTCTTAATAGTCTCTTAGACCCGGTTAGACGGTTATTGAAAGATAATAAATTAGACATTAATCACAGTTTGGTGGTTATAGTGTAGCCTGCATCTGATACATTTAGACTAAAGGTGGACATGTGTCTGGTTTCAAATTCGTAGCGGAACCAAAATGTTAGTATTGGTTCCTAGGGAGGGAGGCACCAAGATTGGTCGATGTAGGTTCTGGCTCGATTCCGAATTCAATATACTTTTTTGAATTAAAGTGTGGGGATGGAGAGTTGGGAGGGGAGGGTGGGGCTGTTGGGGTGAGGGTAACAAAAATTCGTATAAATACCTATCATATTTTCTTTAAAAAATAATATAGCTCTCATCTATTCTCTCTCATATTCGATCTTTTTTGTTCTTTATTCTCTTATATATTTTTATTATTTTTACAGTAAGAATTTTTTGATCTCGGAATCCAAGTTTATATTATGACAATGACACTTAAGGTACTCTGCTGGTTAAATTGATGATTCTTAATCCCTTAACTCTCTAAACCCCACCCTTATCCACTTGCACCACACCTAGTTTTTCACGATTTTTAAAAAGGCCCTCCAACCTCCCTTGAATCGCCGATTTGGTCTGCTCAAATCGATGATTCAAAAGGGAGAGGGGGGAGCAGGGGGTGCTGGGGTAGGTGCAGTGATGTGTGGTTTAAGGTGTATGAACCATCATTTTTAACAACGAAGCATCGTAGGTGCCCCGGATCATAACACGATTTTGGTATCCAAAGTTAAGAGACTTGTTGTGTTATTTCTATAAATATATTATACATATACTTTGTATTAATAATTTCATATTATAAATTTACAATATATTACTAATATTAAAATACTATAGTAAGCCTATATATTACCAAATATTATATTATATATTTAACGTTCTATATTAATCAAAATTGTATTTCGAAAATTTCCAAAAAAAGTAATCAGTCCAAATATGATAAAATGTAAAGAAGGTATCAAAATAAAATTTTTTATATTTTTTTATCTCAGAATAGAAGTTTGCACTCTAGTAATTGACATCATATATGAAAATTTCACAATACTATTTGTTAATATATATGATCATGATTGCCACCATCTTGAAAATAAAAACATAAAACTTACATTCTCTAAAATTAAGATAACTCTTGTTTATTTGTGCATTTTCATTGATTATTTGATAAAATAAAATATTTATATAATATTTTATTTGATAAAACTTTTAATGTAATTTTTAATTATATAAATTTTATTTTTTTATTTATGTCTAAATCTTTGAATAAAACAAATTTAAACAAATTAAATTTTTCTTCCTTTTCAGCAATTTATCATCAAAATAGGAACGAAGTAATATATTTTAGTATGTTTTAATTCTATTTTAATCTCTTTAAAAAAAACTTACTCCGTATAATTCTCTTCCTCCTCCTCCTCCTCACCTGCCTATATCCAGCCATTTCTAGTTCTGCGTTCCAATCTCATCAAATATTCTTAAAAAACAATATATCCCTTCTCAAATATGCAGATATGAAGCACATTTAGTAGACGATTTGATCATTAATGACATTTTTTAGATCTACGGGATAGCCATTTCTGTTCGAAGATGCGCATCAAACACCGCCCTTCGTCTTTCATCTTCACGTTCCTGGTAAGTATCTGCTTTGTCATATTATTTTTATTTTTCATTTTTGCGAATTTATATATATTTTTATTTTCCAGTGACTGATTCGGCTGTGAATCTTGTTTTTTGTTTTTTCTAAACTGTTCTAGGAGTAATCTGCATTTTTTTTGTTAAGCTAAAGTAATCTAAACTGATCTAGCAGTAATCTGTTAAGCTAAAGTGTTTGTAGATTTTTCAATTACATCAAGAAATCTGCAATTTTTTTGTTAGATTTTTTCTTAGGCAAAAGAGAATTTTAAGCTGAGATGCTGGATTGGTGGTGCCAAAGAAGGGAATATTTTTAGTTCAATTTACAGAGAGTACAGAGCTGTTTTCACCATTCCATTCTCTGGCAACTTTAGAAAACTGCAGAACTCCCATGGTAGTATGGTACATTTCATTGAAAACACGAAGAAGACTAAAATTTACTATGCAAAAAAATCAGATACTTTTACAAAAATAAAACATTGAGAACCTCTAGACTCTGTCAGTTTTGGCAGAAAATGTGCAAAACAAACTGCACCATTTTATTGGAAAATTCTATCATACAATCGTCAAAGGTACGAGATATTGCACATCCGCGGCGAATTACTGAGCAATTCGTTTATGATTAGTGAGCTCTAAGTTTTATTTGATGAGCTATGACAATGCACTTAGTGAACAACTCATTTGTGCTTGCTGCCCACATAATTTATATTTTGCGACAAATTCATTTTAATCAGCGAGCATATAAGTCTCATTTGAATTGGTTGGACCGTATTCTTGTATGTACTGCAAAACTACTACTACCTCCGTCCCATAAAATTTCTTACACTTCCCTTGTTTGGATGTCCCAAAAATACCTTACACGTACTTTATTCCTTATTTTGGTAGTGAATATGTGATACCAATAATTTTATCTCCTCTAAACAAATTCTAACCACACTTTTTTTTACTTTTCAACAACTTTCTTAAACTCTGTAAAATTAAAAGTGTCAAGGTTTTTATGGGACGGAAGGCATATATTTAATTCAGATAGATAGATGTCTTGGTGAAGCTCATTCTTTCTTGCGATTGCACTGGTTGTTTTTCCAGGTTATTGTTCACATTGCACTTGTCAGGGCAACTATATCAGATGTATCAGCAGGGTATGATGGCTGCTGAACTTGATAAACAGTAAATTTTGATCGAAATACTCCTGAAATGGTGCACTAATTGTATTTCTCACGTTTTCAGCCAAGCAAAGCTCGGAGATCCTTTGAACATTTATGATTGTTCAGAGTGCGTTGATAGAAAGGTGCATTCATCATTCACATTTGAACTTCTCATTCAACATTTCTGCATTCTTATTATTCATATCATCTCCTTAAGTTTTGGGAAATGCCTTCGCAGGTGCCGAGTAGAACAGGATCTGCTGCTCGTTCAAATGTAAAGGTATACACTGTTGCTTCATTTTGGTTATTCTATAATTATGGATATGAATATGATTGACTTTGATTTTCTTTCTTTTCTCTTGATGCAGGATATTGACATAATTGTAACATATAGTGATGCTCTCGGAGCAATTAGAGCCGCTCGAGTGAAATCTGAGAGCCTCTCAAAGTCTTGGGCCTGGAAAAATCCCAGTGGTGAGAATGTTGATGGAAAAGAGAGTTCAAAGGTGTCTCTTCAATCTTCATATGCGAGTCTTGTAACAAGTATATGCTCTAGTCACTGTGAGTCGATAATTGTTTTTTGCATAAACAGGGGTCCGATGATCCATTTGAACCGGAGTCTAATTCTGAGTACAATAATCAGCATACTAAAGAAGATGTAATTCAGAATGTTGATGTTACGCCACGTCAGCAAACATATACCATGCATCCAATGAAGCTCAAGCGCAAGGTGTGATGTTTAATCCGTTCCACAACTGTGAGTTGTTTCTTTGCATTGTCTTCTTGGCTTGTCACGGAGCCTCCATCCTCTAAGGCCCTAGACGGAAAGTTTAAATTAGGCCCTAATAAAGGTATCCATTTGGATTTTGAGTCTTTGACTATTACTTTGGAAAGCAAAGTCATGCTTGCCGTGGACCTAGAAAAACTAGTTTGGACATTAATACTTCAACT